TTTATTAAACCAACATACCTTGTTGTTGTATTTGAGGTGGTACGCGTATATGGCGCTTGTGGCCTTTGTATAGGTATAATGTGCTCCTTTGGTTCTAAGCTGGTGGCGCGTGCATTCAGCATCGTCTTGATGGGACTGTATGGTGCTGGTCCTTCGCGTGCGGGCGCGCTACGCAAATCGGCGACAGGATGTTGCATTTCCGTAGTGAAACGCATATTCGGTTGTTCGACAATACGTGGTTTTATTTCTAGTTGAATTTCCGTTTTGGCGGTTGGCTTACGACGCGGCAATGTGGCTGATTTTAGTGTTATGGTAGCGGTGGAAGTCTTAACGTTGTTATTCGGTTCGCCACCTGGTGATGCTGTCGGGTGAAGAAAAATAAAAGTAGAAAAGTGGAAATAAGATACATCATTCGATTTAGTTTTAAATAAATATGCGCTATGCCGAGGAGTACAAGGGCGTTGGTGGGTGGTAATGTATGCAAAAATGCTATGCTATGATTAGTTATGAACATGAAAAAAGCGACATGAAGAAAACAAATGGATGGAATGGGCGTTAAATCAACGAGGCGTACAGGCTTGGTTTTGCTGAAAATTGTTTTTGTGGTTTTTTCGAACTGCATAAAAGATTACTAACCTAAGTAACTGTTTACCAACGGCTGCTGAGAAGTTAACGTTTGCAAAAAAGGGTGCATACCAATTTTAGTTACATAAAAAATTTATACATATGTATGGGAAAGACAAAAATCTAGCTTTACATTCGCACGAACAAACATTAACTAAGGAAGTGATCTGAACCAGACAAACACACAAGTACACTTTTTTTTTCTTTCTAACTTTATGCTCTTTTACAATTTTTTTTGCGTTTCTCCCTCAAGGTCCGGTTCGTTGTCGCGACAATCTACAAACGATTCAGAATCTGATACAACAACAACTGCAAATATGTCACAATCAACTGTAACAGGCTCTTCGCAGCCAATAAAGAAGAGTCCACGCGAATTCATTATACCAATTGCGATGGAGGGCGGTGGCTTCATAACACCGCGCGAGGGCAGCATTGAACCTTCGGAGTCTAGTCATACAGCCTCGAGTCGATCGGCATTCAATCGGTTGCGGCCAACTCGACGCATTGGGTGCGAATTAAACTTAATGTTTTATGTAACATAACATATTAATTTCACTATAATTAATTACTTTAAACAGTAGCTCACTACTTAACGATTCTGGCATCGACGAGAATTCGCCATTCCAGAAATTCCGCACGTCGTCCGGCAATAGGGAAGGCGACGAGGAGCCGCGTTTCACGCTGCACAGATTAAGGTGAGTTGGTGGATTGTAATAAATACTAAATAAGTTATTTCAAATTAAATAAATTTATTCATTACAGAAGCTCAAGACCAGTTAAGAAACTGAGTCAGGAAAACGATTCACAAAGTTCCGGCGAAGAAGATGACGATGACGGCTTTGAAATTTTAACCGCAGAAAATCTCTTCTCCACATTACTACAACGAGTATATAGCATTAAACTGATTCATATAGAAATTTTATTATACATACTTTTCTTTTTTATGCAATTTCAGGTGCATGCACTAACACATCGCATGAATGTTGATAAAGATTTAACTGCAGGTTTTCCAAACTCAAGTCGCCTGCTCAGCAATATGCGACATGGCCCCTTTTGGAATCAAGAACCTTTTGGCAGGTGAGTTTTTTTTAGCTGCAGTACTTAAGATCACGTATAAAATTTAAGCAGATTTTGATATTTCGGTTTTGTTTTTGCAATTTGAGTACGAGTAACAATTACTAATTCCATGTGCGTAATTATTAAAACAATTAAATTTGTCAACCTTATTTCTGTTCTGTTTCATGCCGCGTGCGCTTTTGGTTAAATGAAAACAAAAACAAACTTAAACGCATTTAAACAACGATTTTTACACAACAATAATATTTAT